ATTTTTTTAGGTAAATTCCCAAAAGTGGAATTACTTGCTGGAAGAATATGTACATTTAAAGGTGTTACATAGCTCCTGCCAAATTACTTTCCAGAAAAGATGTACCAGGTACATTTTCACGGTGCTACACTGATAATGCTGTCACTATGGTTCCACCTAGTTGCACTCTGATTATTGTCCTTTTCTTCCTGTTTTCAAAAGAGTTCCCCAAACTGTAGGTTGCTTCACTTCCTAGACCGTCCACTCAGGATGCACACCATTTACTTGCTCGAAAAAAAAATGCTTAAAAAATCACAAGTTTGAATTCCTCAGGCCAACACATCACATAAGGAATCAGAGAATTATGAAAGAGGCTCTTGCACAAGAAACAGTGACACTACATGCTTCACCTCAGGAAGAAATCGTCCCAGAACAAGACGAGCTTGTTTATAACTTTCAGTTCAGTCACTCAGTCGTGTCGGACTCTTTTTGACCCCATGGACTGCAGCACTCCAGGCTTCCCTGTCCATTACCAACTCCCGGGGCTTGCTCAAACTTCTGTCCATTGAGTCGGTGATGCCATGCAACCACCTCATCCTCTGTCATCCCCTTCTCCTCCTGCCTTCAATCTTTCCGAGCATCAGGATCTTTTCTAATGAGTTGGCTCATCACATCAGGTGGCCAAAGTATTGGAGCTTCAGCTTCAGCATCAATCTTTCCAATGTATATTCAAGACTGATTTCTTTTAGGACTGACTGATTTGATCTCCTTGCTTTCCAAGGGACTCTCAAGAGTCTTCTCCAACACCACAGTTCAAAAGCATCGACTTTTCGGCACTCAGCATTTTTGATGGTCCAACTCTCACATCCATACATAACTATTGGAAAAACTAGCTTTGACTAGACGGACTTTTGTCGGCAAAGTGACGCCTTTGCTTTTTAATATGCTATCTAGGTTGGTCACAGCTTTTCTTCCAAGGAGAAAGCGTCTTTTAATTTCATGGCTTTCACTAGCTTTTATCTGCCTTTTCCCAGATTTTACTTATTTGTGCCTGTGCTGGGTCTTCATGCTGCACACGGAGTACCCTCTAGTTGCAGCGAACGGGCTTCTCACCGTGGAGGCTTCTCTTGTCGCAGAGCACGGGCTCGAGGCGTGTGGGCTCAGTAGTTGTGGTATACAGACTCAGCTGCCCTGCGGCACGTGGAATCTTCTTGGACCAAGGACCGAATCTGCGTCCCCCGCATTGGCAGGTGGATTCTTAACCACTAGACCACCAGGGAAGTCCACATCTACACATTTCCGAATAAGCCTGTCTGTCGATTTTGATGCAGAAGTTTCACTATAAGACCATGAAAGCTGGCACCAGCAGACGGGGTCTTCTAAGGAGTATATTGGCTTCCCTGGTGGCTCAGGGGTCAAGAATCTGCTGCCAATGCAGGAGACACGGGTTCAATCCCTGGTTCAGAAGATCCCCTGGAGAAAGAAATGGCTACCCCCTCCAGGATTCTTGCCTGGAGAATTCCATGAACAGAGGAGCCTGGCAGTCCATGGGGTTGCAGAGTCGGACATGACTTAGTGACTAAACAACAACAAGGAACACATTAAGTTTCCAGATGGGTCAAAACAAGGGTGTGGGTCGTCTTCCTTTTTAATTTAATAAGTTATAACCTGAAAGCCCTTAAGGACAAGCAGGCTGTAGATCCCTGTTCTATAGAAAAGGCGAGCATTCTCTACAACAGGCCACAGGGATCTACCACCCCCCAATTCCAATTCCACCAGCTGCTCCCTAACCACTGCCAGGAAGAAGGGCCACTGAAGTACTTTTTTGAGAATAAAGTCACTACCTATCTCCCCAACTTAAAACTGGCAGTTAAAAAAAGTCCATGTTCAGTAACTGAGTGACTGGTCAGCTTATCTTGGCAGCTACAGCAAGAAATAAGATTGTTGAAAGACACACCTGTTGCAGGTGTGGACTCTTGGCCACAAAGTGGCTGTTTCACTCACTCTGGAAATTCTCAGGATGAACCACCCCGGCCCTGTGAATGGAACAGAACTTTAGCAAGTCTGCAGGCTGGTCCTCTAGATGCTGGAATAAATCCAAAGCAGTATTTCATGAGAAATCTGCCACTGCCTTAGCCCGCCCGTCTCAGATCAGGCGGGCAACTGTCCCCTGGGTGGCAGGTGTGATGACAGGCATCTCATACATTATAGAAAGATGTTAACCTACTTCCAACTACACTGTTGCATGTAAACCAGGACTTAACTGGCCAAGTGGGCATTTTGCCAGAGAGCATAGTGTAAGCCGTCTACCTCCCGATATTTCCGGAAATATAGATGAGAGAGACAACATTTCTGGTAGTTTCCTAGCTATGGAAGCTACTCACTCTCCAGATACATTTGAAGTAGCCCAGGATGCAGATGGATTAGGGGCCTCTCCCATATCACACTGCCAACCCCATCTCCGCCCTCAGTGACCACTCCTCAGATTGCCTTTTTAAGAAATTGTATGCACTATTTATTTAATTTTTGGCTGCCCTGGGTCTTCATGGCTGTGCGTGGGCTTTCTCTAATTACAGCGAGCAGGGAGCTACTCCCTAGTTGGGGTACAGGGGCTTCCCACGTTCCTGAGCACAGGCTCTAGGCACAGGCTTCAGCAGTTGCTGCGCGGGGGCTCAGGAGTTGTGATGCATGGGCTCAGTTGCTCCACAGCATGTGGAATCTTCCCGGACCAGGGATCGAACTTGTGTCCGGAAGATTCTTAACCACTGGGCCACCAGAGAAGTCCCCCCAAACTGCTTTTAACTCAGAGCATCATTATGGAAAACAAGCCTATGAATCACTTGTGCGCCCTTCGTAAGACTGCGGTGGAAAATGTTGTTCCCTACATCACACGCTGTTTTCTTTATGAGGACTCCTGGGAACAATTCCTGTCTGGCTTCCGTGTGAACAACAGTTAGGATTTCTGGAGCAATTGGTTTGTGTTTATCTCAGGGACTACGTGAACAGTGTAGCTGCCAAGCCTTCCTCCTTCTATCAGTGGCCATGGTCCTGTGGGTTCTGCCTGTGACTCACCAGAAGCAGCAGACATACAGAAATGCAGGTTTTTTTGCGTCTGATCAGCTCCCAAGTGTTATTTTCCTTCTGTCTTGTGTTGCTTCACTTTTAATTTATGCTATCTTGTTATGCTTTATGTTCCACTGTAAGTCACCTGAAAAGCGTTCTGTGAAATAAGGTTTGGTTTACAATGAAAAGTAGATAAAAAAGATGTAGAAGAGTTCTAAACCTTGTGTTTCTGTCTATTTTCTTCAAAACTTCGATTACATTCTGCTTGAACATCCTTCCACTGTTAGACTCAAGGTCTGGAGCACACAATACTCAGAACTGTAGCAATAACATTCATAAAATGATTGGAAAGCCCAAATACAGATGCTGAATGTACTATGACTGTCTCTTCTTACGCTCATGACCCAACTGAGGCAACGCCATTGAAATGACAGAGCTTCCTGGGAGCCTAATGCATTTTAATACTAACTATAATGAATAAACAGCATTACTTAATCCTTGAGTGACACATAGACGTTTCCTGTGCTATCTTCTGGTCTGCATGCAGCCCCGGGAAGCAGAAGGAACAGGCATTATTATTTACTGCTATTTTTATTCTATTTTACTGCTAAGAAGCAAGAAAGAAGTTCCCAGATGTGCTTTCTCTGCCCAGGGATCTTCCAACTGCAGGAAAAGGCTCAAATGCAAGAAGAGAAATGACACTATGAACTCCCATCAAAGTGTGCTGGGAGTGAGTTAAGGACCAACATCCAAAATGTCAGTCAGAAGGGATGATAGAGATCTTTAAGTATATGAAGTTCAAGGTAATGGGAGTCAGCTTCTTTGGAGCCATATTCCTCATTCCTTGAATGGTCGGTGATGACTTCAAAGAGCTGTACTCTCCCATAAGACTCTCTACAAGGTCAGAAATGTTCTCTGTATGTGTCCAACATGGTAGCCATGAGAACAGGTGGCTCTCATGCACTTGAAATGTGACTAATGTAGCTGAGCATCTGAGTTCTGAATTGAAGGTATTTTAATTGATTTAAATTTAAATAGCCATAGTAGGTCTAACAAGATTGTAGGGTACATGATCAATATAGGAAAGTCAACCATATTTCTATATATACTAGTAAGGAAAAATCAGAAACTGGGTTTTCTTAAAAGTCTTCTAACAGTAAGTAGCATCAAAAATGGGACATACTTAGGGATAAGTCTGACTAAAGATATACAAGACCTGGATACTGAAAATTACAAAAGCTTGCTTAGTGAAATTACTAGAGATCTTAATAAGTAAAGAAATATACCATGTTCACGGTGACAAGTTTCGTTATAGTTAAGATGTCAGTTTTCCCCAAAGTGATCTAGAGATTCAATGCAATAAACCCCCATCAAAACCCAAACAGGCTTTTGTGTAGAAACTGACAAAAAGTCATATGGAAATGCAACTGTACTCACCATGTAAAATATTCAATTTGCCTCAACCTGGAAATCTGGGCTTAAGGGACAAAATTTGTTAGAGAACAGTTTTTTTGTTTGTTTTTTAATGTCTTTATTGAATTTGTTAAAATACTGCTTCTGTTCTACGTTTTTTGGCCATGAAGCATGTGAGATCTCAGCTTCCTGACCAGGGATTGAACCCGCACTTCCTGCATTGGAAGGTGAAGTCTTAACCACTGGACCACCAGGGGAGTCCCCTTCAGAGAAGTTTGGAAAGGTCATAATTGTAAATTCTAGTTCTGGCACTTTTATGTCCGTAAGCTCAGTTTCTCCATCTGTAAAATGGGGATACTGAGGCCTACGTAAGAGAATTGCCAAAAAAATTTAACAAGATCATGGATGCAGAGTATCATCCAAGGAGCAGAGGCATATGAAAGACACCCCTTCCCTTCCCCACCAAGCCCTTCCTCACAGTACACATTTTCTTCCCTTCCCAAAGGGTTGCAGCGGTGTGAGCAGGTGGCCCCTCCCATCCTTACCTGGAGCCAAAGCTTGTCATGCTGAGACCACTTTCCGCCAGCAATGCACTGAAATGTGGCGTTCTGCCCCACGTTCACTTCAACATTCTGGAGCCGCAGAAAATGAGGTGCTTTTCCTAAGAGAGAAGCCAAAAAGCATATGAACACAGAGTTCAACAGCCTGACTGCCTTCTTGTCAGTGGACGGCAGCTCAGGATGGACACTGGGCGGGCACATTTGTGCTTAAGAGATGGCCTGGATCAGTGAAGCGCTCCTGTGGATTCATCACTTACAATGGGCCAGGTACTGTTCAAAGACATTGACATGCGCCACCTTACTCAAAACTCACAAAAATCCACAAGGTGGGCAGTAGCTCCATTTTAGCAATAAGAAAATTAATGCTCTGAAGGGTTATGGGATCCGGCATGGTCAGACAGCCAGAAACTGGGGGGAGGCAAGACAGGAGTCCAGATCTCTGACAGCCTCAAAATCTGTAAAATTAGCTTCTGGGCAAAACTGTCATGTTTGGAAAAGGAAGTTGGAGGGGTGGAGGGCTCACCCTAGAAGGCACCTCCCTGTAGCCTGGGTAAGCAGAAAGAAAAAAAGTGGAGTGAAACACCTTTGCAACTGAGACCCCACAATACCTATCCTTGGAGATGATGCTGATACTGAGGACAGTGGGGGGCGGGGGAGGGGAGCAAAGAGAAGAGGATGGAAGGAAGGAGGAGGGGAACACCACTGGCCTTCACTCACTCACAGCTTAGTACGTGATTGGTCTCACGTGTCGTGTCTACATACAGTAACTCGTTTAACCCAATGCAGCTGGTGATGGTATTATCTCTACTTTACAGTGAATGAACCAAGGCACAGAGAATTCAAGACCTGTTCAGAGTGTGCACTCCTTAGGGTAACTCAGGATGGGAAGGAGGTAGGGCATTTATTACAAGGACTTGGGAAAGGACTTTCAAATGAATCTCGTGATGTTCCTGGGCAATCGATTATAGAAATAAACATGTGTTTTATGTTGGGTAACCTGGGTTCATCTCTTTTCTTGTTTGTGGAGAGAGACCCACAGCTCTGGAAGCTCTCCAAAGACACCCGGGTGGATTGACAATCCAGGTCTAGGAGAATGAGTTTCTTCATCAAGGCACAAAAGTGCCAAGGATCCCTATCATATCAATTAAATCAATGATGAACCAATCAATGAACACCTCTGGGCTGTGATCAAATGGAGACTTAAGAGGATCAAGGAGGTTCAGTGAAGTCCCCTGGCTATCTTTCCAGAGGGATTCAAATACCCAGACAGACAAGCAATAATAATACATCATTTACTGAAAGCTCCTACGATGCTAGGTATGGTGGTATTTTACATATTTTAATGAAGTTAATGTCACAACATTCCTAAAGTAGACTACTATCACTTATTTTTAAGAGATGCAGAAACCAAGGCTCGCCAAGTTTCATTTGTCCAATGCTACATGGCATTAACGACAGGAACAGAATCCAGTCCAGGTCTGTTTTAGCCCCACATTTCACCATTTAACCAGCACATCCTCTTGCCTCGTGGGCAACAAGAGATCAATGACTTCACCTAGAGTCCAGGGTTCAAAGAAAGAGCTCCAAGGCAAAGCTGTGCTGGTTCTCCAGGTTCTTCCCGTTGCTCTGGAATATTTTATCATGAGAGATCCCTTTCCATGGCATTTGTCCCCATGGTCTTCACACTTTGAACTATCTGCTCCATAGACTGTGTCACTACCCGCAATACTCAACACACGCCAAAGACCTTGGCCTGATCAGGCAGACCTCCTGTGTGAAAACATACACATGCTGCTCAGGTTTTTAAACGAAGTGACAACAGCTCAGAGTCCCCCCTCATGCCACCCCCACCCAGGGCCCCACGATGGGATGGCATCAAGAGTCCAAGGCCTAGGGAAGCCCTCTCACAAGTTTCTCAGAGTTGAGGATCCGTGGATCTAGTCAGCCTGACAAATGTCATGCTGCTTTGATTGTCTGAAATGGCTTCCTTTTCACTCTCCTGTATAATTTTGTAATGTTATTTTAGGAACTATCAGCTTAAGTCAATTATTAAGTGGGAATAGTGTGAACCTTGTAAGCCCCATTTATGCCACCGGTTTGAAGGAGGGAGGAACATCTACTCCATGGTAGGGAGGAGGCATGGAGTCTTAGCGCCAATGTTGCAAGGCTTTGTGTTGGGTTTTTCAAAGGGAGGTCTCCCGCTACCCCTGGGGACTCAGGGCAACTGGTTAAACCTCTGGGACTTCTGCGATCTTCTTTGGATCGATGTCTCCTGCTTGCTTCTGGCTCCTCCCTTCTTCAAAGCAGCAGACCTCATTCTTCGGTTCTTTCATCTGCAGTCTGTCTTCCTCCCTCCCTTCCAGGTTCAGTGAGAGAGAATTTAGAGACTTCATGGCCCCTGGTGTTAATAATGCTGGTAAAGCACCAAGGGTTTACATATAGCAGAGATAATGAACCGATGCACCTGCAGGAGTCTCACAGTTATGTAAAGAGAGAAAGTGGTTCAGTGCAAAACAAACAAAAACAAAACTGCCACCTCCTTGCCCCCGTCTTCATTTCCCCACTTTTCATAGAGACGGGGGGGAAATAAAGAGTTCTCTGCATCAGAAAAGCAGCAGTGCAAGCCTGCTAATAACTGGAATCCGACACCAGCCTTAGCACTGAGGACACGATAAGGACTGATGAGGACCCGTGACCTGTGGGAAGGGGGCAGCTAGCAGTTCCCTAAATCCAGCAGATGGTGGCCACACAACAATGCTGTGCTTGAGATAGCCAATCATCCGACTTCTTACAGCAAATAAGAAATCCAGACTTTAGGTGAAAGCGCTCATTCTAAAGTATTTTTTTAAAAAAATAGTTGCTAGTATCATTTAATTAATTTATTTTGGCCACACCATGAGGCATGTGGGATCTCAGTTTCCCAACCAAGGATTTCATCTAAGCCTTCTTCACTGGAAGCATGGTGTCCCAACCACTGGACCACCAGAGAAGTCCCTAAAATCTTGACTGAATTTTTTTTTTTTCCTTTTTTTTTTTTTAATTTTTATTAGTTGGAGGCTAATTACTTTACATCATTACAGTAGTTTTTGTTATACATTGATATGAATTAGCCATGGATTTACATGTACTCCCCATCCCAGTCCCCCCTCCCACCTCCCTCTCCACCCGATCCCTCTGGGTCTTCCCAGTGCACCAGGCCCGAGCACTTGTCTCATG